TCCCTGGTGGACGCCATGTCCCAGAAGCACCTGCAGATCAACCAGACCTTTGAGGAGCTGCGGCTCATCACTCAGGACTCGGAGAATGAGCTCAAAAAGCTGCAGCAGACACAGGAATACTTCATCATCCAGTACCAGGAGAACATGCGACTCCAAGGTGAGTGGGGGGCCGAGGGGCATGGGCCTGGGCTGCTGGCTGGGCCAGCTCTAACACCATGCCCTGTCCCCAGCCCAGTTCTCCCAGCTCTCCCAGCTGGGCCCCCAGGAGCGCATGTCACGGGAGACGACGCTGCAGCAGAAGAAGGCATCGCTGGAGGCCTGGCTGCACCGTGAGGCCCAGACACTACAGCAGTACCGTGTGGTGAGTGATGCCACCTGGCTCCCCATGATGATGTCCCCACGATGCCCTGTGACACTGTCCCTGCACCCCTGATGTTGTCCCACCTCGCAGGACCTGGCTGAGAAGCACCAGAAGACGCTGCAGCTGCTGCGCAAGCAGCAAACAACCATCCTGGATGATGAGCTGATCCAGTGGAAGCGTCGGCAGCAGCTAGCGGGGAATGGGGGCCCACCTGAAGGCACCTTGGATGTGCTGCAGACCTGGTGAGTGCCTGGTGGGGTGGGGTGGGATGGGACAGGGTGCTGAGCCCAGTGGGTGCTGAGCCCTGCTCCCCCCAGGTGTGAGAAGCTGGCAGAGATCATCTGGCAGAACCGGCAGCAGATCCGCCGTGCCGAGCACCTGTGCCAGCAGCTGCCGATCCCAGGCCCAGTGGAGGAGATGCTGTCAGAGCTGAACGGAACCATCACTGACATCATCTCTGCCCTAGTCACCAGGTACAAGTTGGGCCCAGCTGGGTGGGGGGCCAGGTTGGCCCTGCCCCCTTCGCAGCCCCCCTGATCCCCTTGCCCCCCCAGCACCTTCATCATCGAGAAGCAGCCCCCCCAAGTGCTGAAGACACAGACCAAGTTTGCAGCCACTGTGAGGCTCCTGGTGGGCGGGAAGCTGAATGTGCACATGAACCCCCCCCAAGTGAAGGCCACCATCATCAGCGAGCAGCAAGCCAAGGCCCTGCTGAAGAATGAGAGCACCCGCAAGTAATGCCAGGGGCTGGGGGTGTGTGGCAGGGGCTGCCATGGCAGTGGGGAGCAGGGTGTGGGGCAAGGGAAGGGCTGCACTTTGCACAGCTCCCAGTCCTGGTGTGCCCTGACTCCGTGTGCATTCCTGTGGCAGTGAGAGCAGTGGGGAAATCCTCAACAACTGCTGTGTGATGGAGTATCACCAGGCCACTGGGACACTCAGCGCCCACTTCCGCAACATGGTGAGTGCCCCTGTTCCCCGTCCTGTCCCCTTGTGTCCCTCTGTGTTCACCCTGTTGTCCCCATCTGTTCCTCCATGCTCACCCCTGGTGTCCCTGCAGTCCCTGAAGCGGATCAAGCGCTCGGATCGCCGCGGGGCTGAGTCAGTGACAGAGGAGAAATTCACCATCCTCTTCGAGTCGCAGTTCAGTGTCGGTGGGAATGAGCTGGTCTTCCAGGTGAAGGTAAAGCCACTGTGTCCCTTCTGCAGGCCCTAGATAAGCCATGGGCACTGTTCCCACAGGAGTAGAGCTGGGCTGGGGCCACATGGGTGCCCGTGGGTGATGCTCCCTTGGTGCCCCACAGCCCATTCCGGTCTCCTTCCTCTCGGCAGACACTGTCCCTGCCTGTGGTGGTGATTGTGCATGGGAGCCAGGACAACAATGCCACAGCCACCGTGCTTTGGGACAACGCCTTTGCCGAGCCTGTGAGTGCCAGTGTTGTGGGGGCAGGACAGGCCCCATCTGCCCGGTGTGGGAGTAGGGCTCAGCCTCATGGTGGGAAATCAGGCAGAGCTGCTTCTGACCATGCTCTCTGCCCCCAGGGCCGCGTGCCCTTTGCTGTGCCCGACAAGGTGCAGTGGCCACAGCTCTGCGAGGCTCTCAACATGAAGTTCAAGGCAGAGGTGCAGAGCAGCCGTGGGCTGACCAAGGAGAACCTGGTGTTTCTGGCACAAAAGCTCTTCAACAGCACCAGCTCCCACCTGGAGGACTACAGCAGCACCACAGTGTCCTGGTCCCAGTTCAACCGGGTAAGTGGCCTGGGCTCTGTCCAGAGCCCTGCCAGTGCTCATGCTTGTGGGGCTGGATGGGATGTACTGACCTAGGGGTCCCTGAGTCTCTGCTGCTGTGCCCAATGTCTGTGCTGTGTAACAGAGGCTCAGAGGCTAGTAACATTAGAGTGCTCATTATCTGGAGATTTCAACAGGAAAACCTGCCTGGGAGGAATTACACCTTCTGGCAGTGGTTTGACGGGGTCATGGAGGTGCTGAAGAAGCATTTGAAGCCGCACTGGAATGACGGGTAAGAGCCGCCCTGCCCTGTGCAGCCTGGCCCGAGCCCCAAGCCCTGACGCCCTACTCTGCCTAGGGCCATCCTGGGCTTCGTCAACAAGCAGCAGGCGCACGACCTGCTCATCAACAAGCCCGACGGGACCTTCCTCCTGCGCTTCAGCGACTCGGAGATCGGTGGCATCACCATTGCCTGGAAGTTTGACTCCTGTGAGTGTGTGCCAGGCACTGGCATCCCTGGACAGAGTATCCCTGGCCCCAGCCAGGCCACCTCATGCCTGGGGTACTGGCACTGCCACAGCAGGCATGCTGGAGTCATCCTCAGGAAAGAGGCGAGCACCAGAGCCCCCAGAATGCCTTGGCTGTCCCATGAGGAGTGGTGCTGCCCTTGCTCACTGCAGCCATGGCTGTGTCAGGCCCAAACACTGGCAGCAGCGGGGGGAGGAACCAGGCTGAGCCCTCCAACCCAGCCCTGGGGAATGATATGGACTGTATGAAATCCAGTTACTTGGTGGTGCTCCCCAGTGCAGGTGTTGTCAGGGGTGGTCTGACCCCATGCAGAAGTCTGTTGCTGTTCACAAGAGCGTCCTTTGGAGGGCCACATGACTGAGAAGCACCACAGAGCCCCATGGTTGGGGAACATGTCAGGATGAGGCCAGACCTGCCTTGGCTTTGCTGTGCCTCCTATCTTATCCCATTTTCTGGCGACCTGTGCTTTATGCTCAACTGTTGCTGGGGGAGGGATGCAGTGTGGGACATGCTGTTTGCTGCTTGATGTGTCCTCGCAGCCCACGTCTAGAGCACAGCCAGGAGCTGCTGCAGATTCCGTGATTCACCACGATCCTCGTGCTTGTCTTGCAGCTGAGAGGATGTTCTGGAACCTGATGCCTTTCACCACCAGGGACTTCTCCATCCGCTCCTTGGCTGACCGCCTCGGGGATCTCAGTTACCTCATCTACGTGTTCCCCGACCGGCCCAAGGACGAGGTGTTCTCCAAGTACTACACGCCGGTTCTCTGTGAGTCCACGCCAGGTAGCGCTGTCCCTTCACCCCACCTGTGTCCCCTCTTTTGTCCATCCAGCCAGGATGGAGCTGGTGTTGTCAGCATCCCCCTGCCCCGGGGCCACACCGGCCCCACAGGGGCTCTGCAGCGCCACGTGTGAGCCCCCAGCACTGCCCGGGGTCGTGGCATGTGCTGGTGCTTGGGGCCTCAGTGCTGCCTCCTTCTCTCTAGCAAAAGCTGTGGATGGATACGTGAAGCCACAGATCAAGCAAGTGGTGCCAGAGTAAGTGTGACCCTGAAGGCAGATCCTGGGCAGTGGTTGACCATTGAATTGGCTGGGTTGGGTGGCAGCCCAGGGCACTGAGGAGCTCAGGTCCACCACCAATGGCCACACTGGTGCTGAGCCTTGTGAGACATCTTGGTGACTTCACCCGTGGGGCACCCAGTGCTCACGAGACCCTTCCCCACAGGTTTGTCAACGCATCAGGAGATTCTGCCCCTGGAGGGGCCACCTACATGGACCAGGCACCCTCGCCTGCCGTCTGCTCCCAGCCTCATTACAACATGTACACCCAGAAGTGAGTATCACGCCCCTATCCCTGTACTGCTGCAGCTGGTCCTCCCCTCACCGCCTGTCTCCCACAGCCCCGACCCTGTGCTGGACCCCGAGGGTGATTTTGACCTGGAAGACACGATGGATGTGGCGAGGCACGTGGAGGAGCTGCTGCGGCGCCCCGTGGACAGTCAGTGGATCCCCCACGCCCAGTCGTGACAGGCAGGCGCCTGGTCCCTTGCCCCTGGCCCCGGCGCTGCGGGGACTGTGCTGTGTTCGTGTCTCTGTGCCAGGGGACAGCGGGTGGGCCCTGCCCCCAGGATTTGCTCTGTGCTGCCCCGAAACACAGGCTGGCGTCCAGCTCTTTGGTGTTTATGCCCTTGTATAAACGGCAGCGGATTTGTCGCATGGTTTTCCTGTATGTTCCTTTTAAGAGGCCCAGCTTCGGCTTTCCGCTTCTGCCAGCACTGGCCCTGCAGCCCCTCACCCCCCGTGGGGCTGCTGGGGCGGGGGCCGCCAGCCCGGCCTCAGGTTCGCTTTCGCAGTCGTCACTAAGAATGTACATGTCGCCTTCTTGTTCTCCCCCGCGGCTCCGTTCCCAGGGGTGCGTGAGGGCAGAGGGCAGAGGAGGGGTTCTGCCAGGGCTCCCCCAGCCCGTGCTGGTGCTCTGCTCCACAGTGGCAGGGTCCCTGCACCTCATCTTCTCCTCTGCCCCCAAGGATGCAGGAGCCCCTCCGGCTCCCGGCCTCGGTGTCCCCTCTGGAGCCGGTGCAGCATGAGGGTGGCAGGGTGCGAGGGCACCCAGCGAGGGCAGTCGGGTGGGCAGGGGGTTTGGGGAAGCGGAGCCCTCTGCCCGCTGCTTCTCCCCTCGCCTGGGCGGGAAACTCTGGGGTCCTGGCCATGTTATTTTTCTATCACAGAGTAAATAAAGCACGGAATATTTTTGTAACACAAAAGCTCTGGGTGCCACGTGTGTCTTGGGACAGAGGTGGGTCCCTCTGGGGAGCTCCTCATCTTGGGTGCACCAGATGAATGCTGGGGCTGGGCCCGGTGCTCGGGGTTCCTATCCCCGAGGGCAGGGTTGTCGGGCCTCAGCGGGCAGAAGCTGGGCGAATCCTGGGGCTCTGTCCGGGCGGGAGGGCTGCCCTGAAGAGCAGGGGCTGGGGCCGTTTTTTCGGGCAAAAAGTAAAGTAAACCGGATCAATTGCCCTGTTTTTCCAAAGAGGGAGCTTACTCTTCATGGAGGGGTAGAGGGCGCTGGTACTGGGGGTTCAATTGCGGTTGAATTCCCCGCCGAGCGGGGGGCCCGGGGCGTGCTGTGTAAAGGTGAAAATGAAAATAAAACTGAAGCGGGGAGGGGGCGGCGCCGGGCGCGATAAATCTCCGTCATTTCTGCCGGAGGCGGAATAGCCGGGTGGGTGAGGGGGGTCCGGGGCCGGGTCCGTGCCCTGGGGCGGTGTCCGCATTCCGCGATGCTGCCGGCGGTGGCGGTGGCGGTGGCGGTGGCGGTGGTGGCCGTGGCTGTGGCTGTGGCCGTGGCCGTGCCCGCGCTACGGCACCGCTTAGTCCGTTCCGCGCTGCGCCGCGCCGGGCGCCGGTACCGGCGGCGGCTGGAAGCTCTGGACAGCGGCGTGCGGCTGCGACAGGAGCGGCGGCTGCGGCGCCTGCTGGGCACCGGCACCGGCACGGCCGGCGGTGAGCGCGGGGCTGCGGGAAGCGGGGCGAGAAGGGGTCGGTCCCGTGGTTGCCCTTCTCAACTTGTGCCTCTACCGGCAGGATGGGAGGAGTTCCAGGAGCGGCATCCCCTGGGGCAGCCCTGTCGGGACGAAGCGCCGGGGGTTCCGGTTCCACGGAACCTGCGTCTCTGGACTCTGCTCCCCGGCTGCTGGGACACCGACCCCCGGCTGCAGGTACGGGGAGCGGCGGGCGGGGTGGGCTCGGATCCCCGCGGGGTCTGCCTTCCTGACCCGACCCTTCCCCGCAGGGCTCCCTGCTCTACCTGGATGCCCTCGGCGCCGCCTTTCCACGGGCACTGGCCCGCCGGGGCACGGCCCTGCTGCACTGGAGCCCCGGCTGTCCCCGCGCCCCGGCGGGGTGGCCGCTGCCCACCCTGTACTGCACGCCGTGCGCGGCGGCCGTGCTGCCCTCGCGGGCCGCTGCGCTGCGGGTGCAGCTGCTCTTTGCCCTGCGGCAGCGTGCCCTGCATGTGCTGGAGGCCGGGCTGGCAGCCGAGCTGCACGATGCGCTGGTGACCCTGCGCACTGAATGGCCTCGACTGGCCCAGGAGCTGGAGTTGGGCAGGCTGAGCCCCCAGCCCGGGCTGCCCGAGGGGGTGCGGGACCAGCTGCAGGCACTGCTGACCCCCGCTGTTGCCCGGGCAGCGGAGCTCCGTGCTGAGTGTGCCCGCGGCTTCGAGGGCATCGCGTTGCGCCTGTGGCCACGGCTGGAGGTGGTGGTGGTGAGGACGATGTGTGGTGCAGAGCGACTCTACTGCGACTCCCTCCGCCAGGCTGACTGCCAGGGGCTGCCCTTCTACTGCCCCTTCTACCAGGCAGCAGGAGGTGAGTGTCCCTACGCTGGCGTGTCCCCATGGCCTGCCCTGCGTGCCCACAGGGAACTGCTGCCATATGGCAGCACAGATCTCCCTGCCCCAACAGATGCTGGTGCATCTCTGTGCTGCATTCCCTTCCTGTGACCTCAAAACAGCTCACTCCTGGCACCAGCAAAATCTCCCCCTTGGAGAGGGGTGAGGCTTCTGTGGGCAAGGATGGGGAGTCTGGGGAGCTCACATTGCCATATGCTGTCTCTGCCCAGCCCTGCTTGGTGTAAACCTGTGGCCAGTGGAGCCAGTGGCCCGATTTGTGCTGTGCCCTGACTGGGCTTTCTGTGAGTTCCTGCCCTGCCTGGCCAGCAAGGAGCCTGTGCTGCAGCACAGGAAGCTGGCAGCTTTAACCTACGCATGGTTCTGCTCCAGGTGACTCTTCGGGGCCCTGTGCCCCCCACTACGAGGTGTTCATGGAGCTGCAGGGCCTGCGGGACCTGTCGGAGGGGCAGCGCTACAAGGTGAGTAGGACAGGGCTCTGCTCTGGGGCTGTGTGGGGTGGCTGAAGGACACAGCTGGTGTGTCAGTGTGGGACCAGCACAGGCAGCTGCCCTCTCTTCGCAGCTGGACCAGTGTCTCCAGGAGGATTTCCCCATCTACAAATCCTTCCGCTTCAAGGGCAGCATCGGGCCCCTGCGCCTGCACCTGGTGATGCCCAGGACCTTCACCCGGCTGCGGGAAGCACTGGGCTCCCCCGTGCCCATGCCCAGGGTCCTGCGTGAAGAGCAGCTGCTGCAGCTCATCCAGGGAGCAGTCATCTCCTAGGGCATCTCCTGCAGCCTTTCCACCCTGGGGTTCACTTGGCACGCACCCTCTGAGGAGGGACTGTGTCCCTGGGGTGGGAGGGCGGGGGGACAAGGGTGCCCATCCCCAAGGGTTTGGCTGAGTGGAGCAAATGGAGACAGTGAGCTTGACTGTGATCCATGGCAGCAGCAGGCACCGCTGGGCACCACTCAGTGCTGCTGTGGAGATGGAGCAGGAGCTTGGGAGCCTCACGGGGCAGCGGGATCCTGCAGCTGCAGGACCCCCTCACTCAGTGCCTTGGCAGCACCTGCAGCTGCAGTGGAGTGTGTGCCTTTCCCAAGGGACCACTGTGCACCACAGCCCGTGGCTGAGGCAGAGGGCTCAGCAGAAACCTGCAGGAGCAGGAGGAGCAGAAGAGCTGTGCCTCATCACTGAGCACTGGGGCCCTGTGGCATTTTGTCCCCTGGCAGGGACACTGCGGGCACGGCTCAGGTGGCTGGTGGTGGCAGGTGTCACAGAGCAGCCCCAGCTGGGATTCAGTGCGTGTCCACTGGTTTAAGAATAAGCTCTGGTGAGGGCTGCTTTTAATGTTTTGAAAACCAAATGCAAAATAAAGGAGGATTATCTTTTTAAAATAAATAAAGGACTGCACTCTGGGATTGATTTTTTAGACTATTATTTTTAATCTTCATTAAAGAGATTGCTCGAACAGTGTGATTGCTCTGGGGGCTGAGGAGTTGCTGCTGTTCTCAGGGGTCCTGGGGAAGGGGCAGTCATGAATATTTAACCAGCTGAGCACTCTGGGGGCACCAGGCTCTTTGTGCCTTTGAGGCACATGTGTACCATCGGGAGGGACTGGTCATTTCCCCTCCTGCTCATTAAGGGTTATTTCCAGGGCTGGTGAGGGCGTGTGGGGCACCTGCTGTGCCGCAGCTGCTGCTGGTGGGCAGGAGATGATGTCTTGAACAAGGCTCACACAAAGCAAAGCATCCCCCGGCACAGCCGAGACCCTGCCAGGGATGAACCAGGCTGAGGCCTGCGCTCCCACCCCTGCTGGAAAAACCTGCAGCAAAATTTCTGCTCCAGGTCGGGGAGAAGCTTTGCCTTGGGCTGGGAGCACCCTGAAACAAAAGCCTCGAGGCGCCTGCCTGGCAGAGCCGTGCGGGGCCGGGGCTGCGGGGGGCGGCTCTGCTGGCACTGCCGTGCCTGGGCACCACCCCGGTGGGAGGGCAGGCTGCTGGGCAGGGCCAGGCTGCTGAGTGCCCGGCTGCCTTTGGATGCCAGGCTGCAGGGTGGATTTGAGTGCCCGGCTGCAGGGAGCAGTTTGTTTTGGGTGCAGGCTCGTTTGTGCTGCTGGTACCAAGGCTGGAGGGTCCGGGTACCCGGCTGAAGGATGCCAGGCTGGGTTTGCGTGCCCGGCCGCAGGGTGCGGGCTCGGCCGGGGTCCCACGGGGATGGGGCGGCTGCCGGGCCCGGGCGCTGCGGCGCTGGGCGGAGGCCGGGGATGCCCCGGCGGTGGAAGGTGCAGGTACCCGGTGCCCGTCCGCGCTCCCCGCCGCTGCAGCCCGGGGCTCGGGGGCC